ATTTTCTACCAACTAAAAAGTATTAGGTGTGTCCCGCGCGCTCATATGACCTTATGCAGTTGCGAGCGCCGTAAAACCCTATACTAAACAAACAAACAACAAGTTACAGTGCAGAAACCTTTTGCACACTGTCAGAGAAACACTGGTGGGAATTATGTTTTAAGATAACAAAACAATACAAAAACAAAAGACTTGACGCTTTTACAACATGTTTTTTAACTCTATACATTATACAGTTGATCTGGGTAATGGAGGGGGGGGGGGGTTTCGCACAAAAGTTTGAGGTTTGAATCCAGTTGGGTTTAATTAAACCGTTGTCGTTTTTGAAATATTTTCTCTTTATCTCATGTCCCACGGGACATTGTGCCCCGCCTTCTGTGTGACGTGATATCTTTTGTGTAAAGGCTGTCTTGAGGAATAAAGCTAAACATTGCCCTGAGCACAATGAATGTAAGGATCGAAACGATCCGTATTTCTTTGTCAGTCAGCAACTCTTGATATTCGTTTCGTTCATATTATTGCTGGTCTGGTGATGTGACTGCTATTCTAGTAGCTGTTGTTGTTGCTATTGTTGTTGTTGTCGATCTTGTTGTTGTTGTAGGTGTTGTTGCTGTTGCTGCTGTTGTTGTTGTTGTTGTTGTTGTTGTTGTTGTTGTTAAGTTCCACTAGCCACAGAAAAGAGAAAAAAGCGTCTGATAATGCTGTGCCGTGCCATCTGAAGGGCATTCGAAAAGTTTGCAGAGTTAATTGTAGCTTTTTCTGGCCAGGGTTTCAAAGAATTGATACCAGTTTGACACCATCGAAATCGATTTCAGCAAAACCGACTCGTTTTGTTTGCAAGTCATGCCAAGATCGTAACCGATTCGAATTGGTTATCAGGGGTTGCATATCTCTCGACTCTTGCTGGCTGGAAGTCGTTCTCTCGATACCGTAAGATACACCTATAATTGCCGGGGAGTTTGGATCTTTTGTTTTGTGCCGTTAATGTTTAGGAAGAGTCTTCTGGTGCTAGAATCTTCATGTTCTTCTCTTTAAAAAAAAAAAAAAGGATGAACAGCGGGTGGTCTGGTGTGATTTACTCCTTCTTCCTTATCAAACATATTTCGTCCTTATCTCTCCTCCTTCGTTTTTATTATTATTATTATTTGTGTGTGTGTGTGTATGTGTGTGTGTGTGTGTGTGTGTGTGTGTGTGTGTGTGTGTGTGTGTGTGTGTCTGTTTGCTACTCTCATGTAACACCTCTAATCTTCGGCACTTAACCGACCCTGTTAATATGCAAGTGTCGTAAAACTCTTACAAAAAACTTTATAGAAAGGAATGTATATATAGATCTATTATGACGCTGTGGCAGCGTTACTATGACAGTGGAAGAGACAAACGAATGCGAAGAAAATTCGAGGCTTTCGTTTTACTGTAGCTCACAAGAGATCAACGCTTTGCTTTGTTTGTTTCGTGTTTGTTTATTTGTTTGAATTAGTTGGCTTTTGTTGGTTTTTGAGTACTTATAAGCATGAATAAGGATACAACGCGCTGTCATACTTCCTCTCAGGATTCGACCACGTTCAAATTCTGATACAATCCCGATCAGTCGAAATATTATGAGTAACAAAAGGGTAGTAAAGCTGAGTTGAATTACAAATTATAGGCCTGCACCTGTTTTCTCGCTTCGGTTGTCTTTGTTTATTGTTCTAACTTTTGTTTCTGTAGAAGTTTTACGGCGCTCGCAACTGCATAATAAGGTCATATGAGTGCCAATGGATGGACGTTAACAGAGAAGTCCTTACAGTGAACCAGTCTTACTCCGCTCCCCTCTCTAGCTTCAACAACACAAAGTCTGCTTCGACTATCAAGGCACCCGGAAATAGCGCAGGAAAATGACGATAGTAAGGATTAAGAAAGAAAAAGCAGCAGTTCCCTGTTGCAGTTCAGGCACAGTTATGAGCATGACATTGATGAATCAGCCCATTTACAATTACAATTCTACTGTGCATAAGAACCCAAGAAGTTAATGTCCCCCCTTTGGGAAGGCCCAAAGACACTTCAGTCAGTAGCACCGCCCGTGGGGTATATTGTTCTGAAATTGGTGATTGATTTGCTAGATATTATAGTTAAGTCTATCTGCGGTGCGGCTGACCCGAACGCCTAGATTTTTCTGGAAGGATCTGTGCCTGACAGACAGTGACCCCCCCCCCACAAACACACACAAACAAAACAAAAAATAAAAAAATAAAAAAAATAAAAAAAACAAGGGCACATCACAAATTTTGATCGCTCTCCAAACCCCGTTCGACAAAACAGGCTCGTCTGCTCAGCCAAGGCTCGGTTTGTTTATTTTACAGACTTCGGAAAACGATTTCCCATGCAAACTTTCGCGTGTCCGCTGGCTGTCTGTCCCGGCCAGTTCTCTACACAGCCTTCAGCCGGCTCTTCCCTAATGCGGTTACGATCGAGGCATGCAATAAATGTAACTCTGTCAGACTGACCTCAATTACACTGTTCCCTTCCGAGACGTTTGCCGTTAAAGCGTGTTTCCAGAGCAAATCGTCCTCCTGCTGCAAGGACACGACGTTATCTCTCTCTCTCTCTCTCTCTCTCTCTCTCTCTCTCTCTCTCTCTCTCTTTCTCTCTCCCCCCCTCTCTCTCTCTCTCTTTCTCTCTCTCTCTCTAGCTGTCCCTCTCTCTCTCTAGCTGTCCCTCTCTCTCTCTCTCCCTCTCTCTCTCTCTCT